ACATATGGCTACGACATGTATTATTGTTTTGGATTATTATACATATGGGTTAGAAAAACATAAAGATAAAAGTTTTTTAAAAAACTAATAAAAAGCAATACCCCACAGTGATACATTCTTTACATTTTAAGGAAATTCATATAATTTCTTTGAAAAATGAAACTTTTTCCCTGCAGGTCCTTTCGGGTAAAGAGAGCGTCGGCCCTTATAACTTTAATTTTACTCTTTAATAAAATTTTGCTTTGTTCACTGACTACATGCAATGATTTAATATTTTAGGAATATAATCCTGCACTGGTTTTAATTATATGTTTTCTAACCTTAAAGTTAATTAAAACTTGGAAAAAATAGATTTTTGAAAGGCGTAATGAGACTCCCTGCTCGGCAGCTCCATCTATTTCTGTACTTTGGACTGAGATATAGAGTTAAATAAACTGAACATAAGTAACTGATACAAGTGTACAACTGTATGCAAAAGTATATGCTTTTCTTTTGATTTAATTCAAGAAATGATAAAAAGATACATTGCCTACAAACTGGAATGCATTAGCAATCTAGAAATTGTATTTTCTATTAATTTGACCTTTAAACTCTGTTTATACTCAGTCTTTGGTCTATCAGTACAAAACTAAATGTTTATAAAATGAATATTACCAGGATTCAAATATAGATCCCTTGAACATGTTTTTGATCTTCTTTAACCCCCCCCCCCAAAAAAAAAAAAATATTGGCAAAAGGAAGATATTTACTTTCTCAGAAAGAATCCTAAACTGCTCTTCTCACTCTCAAAAACAACATGTCCAATGAGGTGGATAAAATACATTTACATGGTTATGTGTAATAGACTTGAAAGGATGGGGAAAGTGGTCCTATTTTTCTACCATCATCAGGAATGGGTCTTCGGTCAAGGACAAGAAAGGTACATTTCTGTACCCTTCTACTTCTTTGAAAAGAGAAATTTCCTTTCTCTTGTAAGATTCCTTCAACGTTAATAGCACTGAGAGATGCCTACCGCTTATCATTTTGTGCTACTGTTAAGTTACACAAGTCAGCCATGCATAGGCTTTCTGTTTGCTTCCTTTATTCATTATTACTATAATCAGTTAGGCAAGTGTCACTTTGGAGACTATAATCTCCCATCAGTATCTCCAGTTTGCCCAAGGCTGCCTCATTGTCTACTTTAGCCTTGAAGCATGAATACTGTGTTCACCTCAAGGAGTGACAAGATCACTTCATCTTACACAACACACAACACTTGATGTGACACAAATGTGTCGGATCCCCATACTCCGCTCTTTATAACGCAAGTTGTGACTGGGGATAGCTTAGCCACCTAAAAGAGACTTAATTAATATTAGCTTAATTAATGCCAGAGGCTGAATGCATAATTCAATATGGTAGCCACTGTGGAAGCAGCGGAAAGGGAATCAAGTGTCATGGCTTGATGACACTCTTGAGCAGAAAGTTCTTGTTGCTCAACCTTCAACTCTGCTATTTAGACAGTAGTGAAAAATAAAGCATTAAGAGTACATTTCTAACATTACTGATTCTGATTCTGATTCTAGATTTGGACTTCAGGCTTTCTGAAATGTGTTGCAGTTTGATGGCAGTTGCATTACTTGGACAGAAAATAATAAACTAACCCAACTGTAATTATACTTGCCAAAGGTGTTTTTTTCTTCTGTTTTTATTTCAGGCAAGAAATGTGAGAAGGTTGCATTTATAGAACTGATCCATACATTCACGATAGATTGCCACTAAGTGCAATACCGGCCCATTGATAGCAGATGGGACTGGAAAAATGCAGCTGTGTAGTAGTCAGTCAGTCAACATGATGCTTTATTTAATGCGAAGTGTAGGAAAATAATAAAGAATATGAAGGCACTGTGTGATTCCTTTTTTTGTTTGTTTGTTTGTTTCATTTTTAGTACTTCATATTTTAGCTTTGGTGGTATTTTTAGAAATCTTATTGAACTGGGAACAGAAGATCTCACTAGTATGAATCACACATAATTTTGGAAGTGGTGGCTGTGTTTGCACTTCTAACAATTCTACAACCCTCCGTCATACTAAGTAAGTAATGAGGAAACAGGAAATATCTATACCAATTTCAGCATGGCTTATGGTAACTCAGATTGATTTGCAAAAAGGTAATACCCTGTTTTAATACACAAGAAACTACAATAACTGTTAATAGCTGTGGCTAGTGATGGTAAATTTGATTCTTTTTACTGAATCGAGTGTTAATAAGTGTTAGATTTGTATTGTTGATTGTCATTTATGCTTAGAAATATTTACTTATATATGCTTAGAGTTTTGTAATTAGTTGTAGATTGGTAGAGGTTTTGATCCTTGATAGTCTGCAAACTTTGTGTGTATTAGACAGCACTTTGGGAGCATGAGAGGTCATACCGTGTCTTATTGTTTTATGGTAGGATTAACGTAGTTGCGTCTGTTCTAGTCTAAGTGCTCTTTGTTTAGATGAACTGCAGGACTTCCTCACCGTGTTATCTAGGATGAACCATCTAGGGTGAGGGGGAGGCTACCCTCTTCCTGACCAAGGATGTTTGACCCTTTGATCAGCAGTCCCCACACACACACACACCACACACACCACACACACACACACACACACACACACACAGGCAAGGTACTCTTTGTTTGTATGTAGACGTCGTATGTTAATGAACCTATGCATATTCATGTAACCTCAATAAAAGGACAGTGTATGGGAGAACGGACGAGAGCTACTGGGGTCAAGCGAAGGAACGGTGCCTGTCCGGTTCTCTCCCGTGCACGAGTACCATGAAGAAGTTTGCCTACTTGTGTCTTGCTTGCAGTGTAATTATATTGTCTTCAACGTTCCAGCGAATAGGTTTATGCTACAAACCTATCATTAATTGGTCCTTCGATGCCAGAGCCCTGGAATCGCCTTCACCGAGGGGAGGAGAGGCACGCTGAAAGACTGACGTCAGCCAGGAAGTTCCTGTGGATTCGCTGTATGTCTTTTCTCCTCGATGAATGGCGATTGGCGGGATTCGAGGCTGATATTACACGCTAAGCAACACCGAGTAAGTTTAGAGTCCAACTCTATAACTGTACGTCTTCGCCGCTCAGTGGGGCGTTGTCCGTGGCCGCTTAGTGGGGCTAAAATTACGTCTTCGCCGCTCAGTGGGGCGTTGTCCGTGGCCGCTCAGTGGGGCTAAAATTCGCCGTCTAAGTGGGGCGATGTACAAGGCCGCTCAGTGGGGTCTTTTGTACAGAAGCATTAAGTCGCAGAGTTGCGCAGTTCGAACTTTTTTTGGTTCGCCGTCTTAGTGGGGCGAAATACAGACCGCTGTGTGGGGTACTGTAGTGAGTTCTCCACCGCTCAGTGGGGTGTTGAGAAGTTCCGCGGGGTCCAGATTGTGCTGGACAGTAGGCCTATTTTGTGTTGTTGTCATTGTCGTCGTCGTTGTTGTTGTGTGTGCGGAGCAGAACATGTGGTCTGTGACACCGACTGTTGTTGTTATCATGGGTTTCTAAGCAACCAAGAGTGAGTCGGAGGGAGACAGACGTTTGTGCTGGACTTTGCTCCTGGCAGCACAAAGTATTTATGTAAAAAAGAGAGAGAGCGATGGCTCCTTAGCTGCGCGGGTTCACGCGAGCGCGGTCACGCGGACCTGAGCCGTGCGGTTAATCGCAGGCTTATAAATGGAAGAGATTCAAATGTTAGAAGTTTTCAGAAAACACACCAGCCTTGGAGAGCTGTGGAGAAGGCCAGCCCACATCAGCAGCACTTAAGATATGCTCTGGTGAATGCCTTTCCCCCCACCCCTTGCTGACACAATGTTTATTCTTTAGCTTGCCCTGATCGACAGCAGCCTGTGTGCCAGACCATAGATTTAATTGAGGTGGATAGTTGTTAAAAGTAATATACATTAAGCTTGTGGTTGCTTAAATTCAGTACAATGACATGTGAGGTGAAGTGATATAGGTAAATATTTAAACTCATGAAGTGCATAGAGGCACTTGACCTGTGTGGAAGACGGTCGTCTTATTATGAGCCATTGTTGAGATATAGAGCACATCTGTGAAAACAACTAATATGCTCAACCCTGTATGAAACATCTAAAAATACATGATGGAGAAGCTGTGTTGAATATGTAAGTGTAAGACTTTGCCACTGTGGGCAGAGCATGCAACTACTGTGTGATGTCGCGTTGCAGTTTTGTTTTTGTTTTTTTGAGCTGATGAGCAAGCTACACATTATCAGATCAAGAGCTGTCTGAGAACTACTCAAAGAGAGGGAAACAGAGAGTGTGCAGCGTTTCCATGAGCAGTTTTTCTGCACCTTGACTCGTGTGTGTGTGTAGCATCAGCATCATGTTTTTGTTTATTTGTTTTGTTGGATTAAAAATAATTAAATAAACTGGTGATCATGCTTATGGATCACCATGGCACATATCTCCAGCCATATGGTTTATTTATGCAGATGAAAAAGTGAGTGTGAATGTGTCTGACATCACAGTGTTTTTGTGCACTGTGCAAAAGTAATTGCCTTTGATTGTGAGTGAGAGCGGTGATTTTGCAGACCACCAGCTATTGTGAAGAAAAAAAAAGAGTGAAAAAGAGACAAATTACTACATTGTAGACGAAGAGAAATAATCATAGGAAAAAGGTTTTGTGTTGATCAGCCGAAAAACAACTACAATGTCATTTTCTGCTTTTAAGAAAGGATTGTTCACACAAACACAGACAGAGAGAGAGAGAGAGAGAGATGTGTGTTGATTAAGCAGTGATGATAATAATGAACATGTTTTAGTTTGTCACTTTCAGGTGAAAAGCAGACCTGTATCAATTTTCCACATGCAACAGTCGGAAGAAAGTTATAGTTTAACATCATTGGAAACATGCAGGCCAAGTTTCTGGCTGACTTATTTACAGTGCCATGTGTTTCTCAACCTCACAAGCGAGCTCACTCCTCCCTGAAGATAAGGAATGCAGCTCCATGATAAAGAGACAGCAGCAAGTCCTGAGCACAAAAAGTCCCAGCAAAGCAGCAGCAATGTGGATAAACAGCAGCAGCAGAAGAAAGCAAACCCATCTTCCTGTCTGATTGGATGAATTCCACGGAGGGGCGAGCAAGATGGCGGTGGCAGCATGTTGAAATGCTCAAAAAGGACTGAGTGACTCGGGCAAGCCACATGCGGCTAGCGACATGAAAGAAATGGACCCTTCATGATGCATTCAACGTGCCAGCGCTGTGGTGGGAAAGGCTCCATCATAAACACGCCCTGCGCCGAGGTTCAGGCCAAGAAGAAGAAGACGATGACTTCCAAGCCCAAGAAGGTCGGCCTCAGCGTGGGCGAGCTGATTGTGAAAGCCGTGGCCGCTTCCAAGGAGCGCAACGGCCTGTCTGTGGCCGCTCTCAAGAAGGCTCTGGCTGCCGGAGGCTACGATGTGGACAAGAACAAGGCCCGTGTCAAGACCGCCATCAAGAGCCTGGTGGCGAAGGGCACTCTGGTGCAGACCAAGGGCACCAGGACCTCCGGATCCTTCAAGATGAACAAGGCTACTGAGAGCAAAGCCAAGAAGCCCGCCGCAGCCAAAGCCAAGAAACCGGCAGCAGCTGCTAAGAAGTCGCCCAAGAAGGCAGCAGCAGCACTTCAGCTACTAGACAGGACAAAGCTGAAGGAGAACTGCCGGGACTGTTGAAGAGGGAGAGGACAAAAGAGTGAGAGGACAACAGAGTGAGAAGACTAGGTGAGAACACATAGGAATTATTTAATGTGGGAAATACTGAATTTATCCTAAAGAAAAAAAATTGACTCTACAAGTTGCAGGACAACAATTTAACTTTTGTGGGAAAAAAAAAAAAAAAAGATCCTGGTTTGATAAATCAGTGATCAGACAATAAATTTAGTGTTAAAATGGTAAATTGGGAGAAGCTTCCTGCTTGATTGAGGCAGCATAAGTAATTTACTGTATGAGGGAAATTGTCTTTTGTGATACTATTTTGAACATGCTTTTCTGTCGTCCTGTCAACTTAGTGGGTTAATAGCTGATATGCAAATTAGTTGATCGGTTTTAGATTAATGAAAGGTGACTGAATTCTAGCACGAGTGAATGAGATGTGTTGGAGTTTGTTGTGTGTTGAGTAGAGACTCTAAAACACTGAGTTTCCTGCTTTGATGTGCGAGTGAATCCTGTATTTAGATACACAACTCTGAATACGTCAGAACAGACTGTTTTGTGAAGTGCATGACAGCATGTCACATGTTTTATGATGAAGGGAAAAAAGGAAAATTGAATAAAATAGATCTGTGGCTTAAATGAGTGAAGAGCACAGACCTGGTGATTAAACTCATAGCTAATATGACATTAGGGTTATGTTGTGTGTTGTGCAGCTGATGGTTGATTTGGAGTGAATCTAGCTGATGATTTTTCTTTTGTTGTGAAGTTGAGCCTGCCGATTAGTATGATGGTATGATAAACCATGCTAATGGTATGATTTACCCTCCTGAGATGAGGAGCTTGTGTCATGACTTAACAAGGCCTTTTTATTTTGATACTTTCACAGTGCACTGAGAGTTTGGTTTGATAATCTCTGTTATTTTTTATTTTTCATTTTTGAACAAGCACTGATTTTTGCTTGTGAATTTCTTTTCTTTGAGCAGATCTGCAAGTCGGGAATTAAAAGCGTTACACGTCGTCAAGAAAATTGTTGCAAGTGAGTTTCTCCACATTTAAAATGGGTTCAGGAGAAAGCCACTTATTTGGGACAATTAGGAAATGAGAGTCCCCCACAAAAAGGATTCAACGAGGAAATCCAGTCTAAATTATTTTTCTTTTTGAAATAACGTCGTTTTGCTGAGCGTGGAAACGAATGCGATGATAATTTCCACAATTAGCAAAAGAAGGAACCACTGAGTGAATGAGTAAGAATTTTAAAATAACTGACTGACTGACTGAACATGATTGTGTGAAGCTAACCCCCACCTGACAAAGGTGCAGATGAACCCATGTGTTTCCTTTTACAGGAGCAGAAAGATGACAGCAACACTCGAGGTTGCATGATGATTTAACCTTTTAAATGCCATTTTCTGTGTCTGTGCATTTATCAGGTGTGTTATTCATAGGCTTGAGTTGCTCACAGAGATATCTGTGACAAAGTATGCATACGCCTGCGCAAGCGCTAATATTTGCATTTTCTTTTCTTACAGCATGCCAGTTCTTCATGTGAATTGATGATGCGATTTATACCAGGACAACTGGTTGATGTTTTTTTCTACTACAGGATTTCTGGGTTTATGTGTGAGGAAAACTGTGTTTACAGGTTATGAGTGGTGATGCTGTTGCATTGTGTTGATGGGAAGATGTGAAGGTTACTTTGATAATGTGAATAACCTGTGTGAAATTTCCTGTGTTGAGAACTGGTGTTACTTCTTTCCACAGCTAGGGTTGACTTTATGGTGTTTTTATGGCACCTCTGGAACCTGTTGACCTGTGTCTGACCTCTGTCTGACTACAGTCAATGTGTATTGCTAATGTTAATTTCTTTGAGAATGCTGTGGAAGATTCAGCTGAAACGGACAAGTGACATGAGAAGAACAAATAAGAGATACAGTGTTTCTGGGATAGTTTGATATGGGCTCATTAGCTGGCCACTTTTGAGCCCATAGTAATATATAAGTGGAGTGACTTTGCTTAAGAGCAGTCACCGATTACATTAATGTTGCCTGAGTACATGGGATGATCCATGTCTGAGGCGACTTATGAAAATGATTGTAGTTTACTGATTTGAGAAAACCTGCACATGACACTTGTCTTGCTGATGTTGAATGCTTCTTGTCCTTATGATACAATTGTTTACAGGTATGAAGTTTGATTTTACTTCCAGATTTTGTTTTCCAGGCCATGATGGTGTGTATGCAGGCTCCTGGGAGAGCCAGGTGTTAAGCAAACTTAATATGCAAAGCACACTAACATTTTCATTGCAGGATTATGGGTCCAGGGTGGTGCTGCTCCAGGGGAGGAGATGCCCTGATGTTGCCTGGGACATGATCTAGCTAATCTTTTTCTTTAAGACTGGAATCCAGGTTTGGTGAGTTGACGCATGGGTGTGTCCATGCGTCAAGAGGAGGGGTCCAAGGATTAACATTAAACAATGTTTTTTATTATTGTTGCAGTGATTTGTGTGATTAGCCGTTTTATTTACAAATATTAAACCTATGCAAGTGGTGCATCCATGTTCAGATGAGGCTTTGATGGCCTATAAGTGAAGTTCACTGAACTAAAGAATGTGGTTTGATGATTGTTGACATGCTCTCCAAATAGAAGTTTTTCTTCTTAGCAAGGAAATACAGGTGCAGCAGTAATCTCCTGAGAAATCTTCAGAGGCCCAGTGAGAAGCGTGAACCATTCCAGGCATAGCTGACAGCCAGGCAGTGGTTGAGGTCAAAGGTCAAGCTGGTTGGGGCCCATCATGAAATCAGACCTTGGAGCCACAGCAAGGACCATGAAACTGCCTGCAAAATAGAGGAGAGGATCGTCCACAAGATGGGAGAGAGGCTTCAGGAGGATCAGAGATCATCTTCAGCACAGCAGACATCACACAGAGAGCTGTGCTACTAAGCTTCCAGGAAATCAAGAGGAGACTTCCCACAGCAAGATTTTAAATAAAATGAAAGATTCAATATTGACGCTGAGGAAGACAACTAAGGTGTACGACGTGCTCTGCCTTAAACCTTCAGCAGCGTTGGAACATGAAAACTCGTGGGATGAGGGGAGCGTGCCAAGCTCCATCGACAGCGCAGAAGGAGTTCGAGGATGACATCATGATTCTGTGAAAGCACAGGAACCAGAAGCTATGGTGGTGATAACAGCAGTTTCCTATGAACATCACCTAATGCTGTGCCACTGTACTGTGCATACGATGACACTCTGAAGGCTGCTGGGATCATAACAGCAGTAAGATGACGGAACCCAGCACCCTTTCCACAGAGAGCTTTTTCTGCAGAGCGTGGACAATTAAGGAGTCATAAATATCCCCCTCACAAGACGAAGGTCTGAAGTCAGGTGATGGGGGCTGGTAAGAGGCCATAAAACTAGAGTGCTGAGAGGTCTGCAGCTTGGAAATAGCTGAGACCCATGTTGACGAACCACAAAACCAACTAGTATGTTTGAATGTCTATTCTACATACATTTGGACTCTGGTCCTATGGACAGTGATGGAAACAACTGGAAGAGACATTCATGACGCCCTGCAGAGCTTAAACCACTCTGCAGAGAGACATGTGATGTGCACACCCGGAGGAAGCACCACCAAGTTGAGATGTTTTTGAAAATGTTACTTTTTTAGTTTCACTATTAAATTAACAATTTCTTTGTTTGCTCGTAAGATGCAGTTTGCCATGAGATGAGCTCAATGAATGGGGTAACTGCTAATACATTTATTAAACTGTGTACCTTTCAGTAATTTAGGGTGATTTGACATATGCTGAGTATAAAAAGGTTTGCATTGAAACTGTCAGACATGAGGTATTCATACCTGGGAACTTTTCAGGCATAAAGGTCAAAAAGGGGGGAAATGTTAGATTTGTATTGTTGATTGTCATTTATGCTTAGAAATATTTACTTATATATGCTTAGAGTTTTGTAATTAGTTGTAGATTGGTAGAGGTTTTGATCCTTGATAGTCTGCAAACTTTGTGTGTATTAGACAGCACTTTGGGAGCATGAGAGGTCATACCGTGTCTTATTGTTTTATGGTAGGATTAACGTAGTTGCGTCTGTTCTAGTCTAAGTGCTCTTTGTTTAGATGAACTGCAGGACTTCCTCACCGTGTTATCTAGGATGAACCATCTAGGGTGAGGGGGAGGCTACCCTCTTCCTGACCAAGGATGTTTGACCCTTTGATCAGCAGTCCCCACACACACACACACACACACACACACACACACACACACACACACACAGGCAAGGTACTCTTTGTTTGTATGTAGACGTCGTATGTTAATGAACCTATGCATATTCATGTAACCTCAATAAAAGGACAGTGTATGGGAGAACGGACGAGAGCTACTGGGGTCAAGCGAAGGAACGGTGCCTGTCCGGTTCTCTCCCGTGCACGAGTACCATGAAGAAGTTTGCCTACTTGTGTCTTGCTTGCAGTGTAATTATATTGTCTTAACGTTCCAGCGAATAGGTTTATGCTACAAACCTATCAATAAGTCACTCACCAAAGTAAATCGGGTGTTTTGAGTCATTTGATTCACTGAGTCAGTTGACCAGAGAGTGCAAAAATTTTACATTTTCACTCAAACTTAATCTGTTTCCCTTTTCATGTAAATCCCACTGCTAAGATGAATGATTCAAAAAAAAAAAAAAGTCTTCTCTCACCCCCATTCTCTGCGGCCTGCTGGAGCGGGGGGAATAGGAGGAGGAGTTGGCCGTCCAACTGTGGTCTGGAGTGTGGGGCCTCCCTGCTGCTGCGGAGTCGGGGCGGTCTGCCTCCCCCCACCGCAGGGAAAAAGGGTAACACCACCTGGTTCTGGGTGCAGTTCCCCCCTCCAGGGGCAAGGGTACCTAGACCCGGTTTGTAGAGTATGCTTGGGGAGTGTGATCGTGTGTACAGCGTCTCTTTATGTCTGTCTCCACGTTGGTTGAGTGTGGAGTAAGTGCATATGAGAGCATGAGGGTGGGAATGGATGTTTGTATATGTGTGCTCCTGTATGTCTGTGTCTATATGTCAGGTTGGGTGTCAGACGACACCTCTCTGGGGACATCTCAGGCCCTCCAAGGTTTGGAGGCCTATCTCCACCCACCACCACTTCCCCTGCCAGTGGCGGACTCCCTCAGACATCGGTGCGTCGGTGGCTCTTTGTGTCCGGGGATGGGCGTCCAGGTACACACCGGCTCACTCCTTGGCGGCCGCTTATCGGGGCCTGGAGCCTGGGGCTCGCTCGGGCCACTTTGGAGGTGGGGTGCCCTCGGCCTCTCGGCCTGGGGCTCGGTCACTCAGGCACAGCTGGCTGCCGGCGGAGCTCACGGGCGCGTCACTGCAACTCCCCCTGGCTTCTGCTCCGCGGCTGCTGAGTGAGCCCTCATCTGGGACTCTCCTCAGCTCTTTCTGGGACAGTGGCGCGGCTGCCCCTCTGTTGGTCTTCCTTGGTCTCTTGTGTTCTGGGGACCTCTGGATGTCTGGAGTTTTGATCTCCTCCATACCTGCTTCATGCCCTGGAGGACGGGGCTGTGGCCCCCCCACACCCTCTAGCAGATCATTACATGAAGGAACCTTTTAAAAAAAACAAGCGCGTCCATGCTCACAGGTGTACACACGGGTGATCACACCCACAAACTACACCCTTTTTGGCTCCTACCTCAAAGCGCACTGTGTTCTGTTGATCTTATGTGCTGCACAATAATGTTTAATATTTAGTATTTACTGTCATATTCCCATATATCATTGTGATGTTGTTTATTCTATTACTCTTGTTCTCTTCTGCTTGTTTTCTTTTTTCTTTCTCAGCAGGTGATCCAGGTGATTGATATATGCATTTTTTTTTCTGAACGTTCTGTTGGTTTTTATCTTTTGCCCTTCTCCCCCGTCCCTCTTCTCAGCTGTTTCTCTTTCCCCCAGTCAAGTCTGTCCCGTATTCAGTAAGTGAAAATAAAATAAACAATAAAAGGTGAATCAAATGGACCATTACGGCAAGGCTGGGATGGTCAATTTGGTAAAGTAAATCCGTTGGGCATCTTTCTTTGCCTTTAGACAACAATTCTGATGGCAAAAGAGTCAAACGGGACAGGCAAAAAAAAACCCCCAAAAAACCCCAAAACTATTTTATAGAGAAAAAAAAGAGCAAAAACATTTCTAAAATTAAGCAATTTCCTATCAAAATTGCTTAATAAAAATTTATTTTTTTAAATTTGTATTTTATTAGTATTTTCCTTAAGTGTGTCAAATATATATTTTCTCATCTAAATGTCCACTGCGCTGTGAGCCAGGGGCGGTAATGCGCCTTAACATTGGTTGCCAACCAAGAAGAAGAAGAAGCTGTGAGCCAGGAGGGAGGGGGTGAGTGAGTGATTCGTTCGTTTGCTCTTTGATTCAGCACAGGAGGGAGGGGGTTAGTGAGTGAGTGAGTGAGTGAGTGAGTGATTCGTTCGCTCTATGATTCAGCACAGGAGGGAGAGGGTGAGCGAGTCCTGAGTGATTCACTTATGCTTACGATTCAGCACAGGAAGGGAGGGGGTGAGTAGCTCAAATGTGTTGTTAGCATGTTAGCAGCGTTATGCTACTCTGAACCGAGGAGCTATTTTCTTGATGTGAGCTTCTACTCAGGGTTTTTTCTTCCAGTTCAGAGCAGAAATGCTTTTGCTACGAAACTGGCTGTTGTTTTTCCCCCCACAATTTTAATTATAAGCCAGATATATTTCTACTAATGGAATTAGTTTGCTAACAGCAACAGGGATGAGTCAGTGAGTCAGTTGGGCTTGTGAATCATGATTCACGAGTCAGTAAAGTGATTCTCGAGTATTGAACGATTCGTTCACGAATCGAACATCACTAGCTGTGGCTGTGGCATCTTTTTCCATGCTCACTCGTTGACATCTGGGTTATCAAATCCCCTTTTTAAAGTGGTCTTGAGCAATAGTTTTCCAATGTATTGCTCAAGAGTTTCCTTGGACCTTTGCTACTCTTTCATTTATTTTCTGTCTGGTCCTGGTATTCAAGCATTAAAAAGGCATGTAACTCAATGGCTGGACCAGTGTTGAATCTACCTATAAGAGGCAACTTAGAAAAGAATAAATTTTAAATTATATCTTTTAGCACTTTGCCACTAGTAGCCACAAAAACATATAACTTTTTTCCCATTTATTTAGTTGAATCAACAAAACATGCAAATGATAAAACAGTTTGACTGACATAAAATGGTGCTGTACCAATAAAGTGAATACCCAAAGAGCTACTAGCCAAAACTTTCACTGAATAAGTGGAGGACAAAGTTTTTAGGCCTGACACTTTCTATCTATAGCAGATGAACAGCATCTAAAAGTCATAAAGAAATAGGGGAGGGGGAGGCAAAGATGTGACACAGGACCTGAAAGATTTATATTTATATTCCATTTCACATGATTGATCTACTGTTGCCTAAAGCTTCATTAGAAATGGTCTCAATGGAAGGGTAGCTGCCAAGAAGAAAACAGAGCAGGCTTTGTCATGATTTGGTGCTGAATTTCACCCAGTGCTGTTTGGAGATTTTGTTAAAAATCAATTAAATTATGAATATAGAAAAGTACAATCAGATTTTATTCCACAATGCTATTCCATCTGGGAAGCTTCTGATTGGCAACAGCCTACTTTTT